GAATGAATGAATGAATGAATGAATGAATGAATGAATGAATGATTGGAATGAGTGGAATGAATGGAACGAGTGGAATGAACGGAATGAATGGAAGGAACGAACGAATGGATGAATGAATGAAACGCATGAATGATATAAATGAAGGAATGAATGAATGAACGAACGAATGAATGAATGCAAGAATGAATGATAGGAATGAATGGAACGAATGGAATGAATGGATTGAATGGAATGAACGGAACGAATGGAATGAGTGGAATGAACGGAACGAATGGAATGAGTGGAATGCATGGAATGAATGAATGAATGAATGCATGAATGAACGAACGAATGAACGAACGAACGAACGAATGAATGAATGAATGAATGAATGAATGAATGAATGAATGAGAGGGTGGAAGGAGTGGAATGTATGGAACGAGTGGAATGAACGGAACGAATGGATCGAACGAACGAATGGATGAATGAATGAACGAGATGAATGAATGAAGCAAGGAATGAATGAATGAGTGAACGAATGAATGAATAAATGAATGAATTAATGAATGAATGAATGAATGAATGAATGAATGAATGAATGAATGAATGAATGAATGAATGAACAAACGAACGAACTGAGTGGAATGACTGGAATGAACGGAACGAATGGAATGAATGGCGTGAATGGAATGAATGAACAAATGACTGAGTAAATGCATGCATGAACGAACGAACAAATCAATGAATGAATGAATGAATGAATGAATGAATGAATGAATGAATGAATGAATGAATGAATGAATGAATGAATGAATGAATGAATGAATGAATGAATGAATGAATGAATGAATGAATGAATGAATGAATGAATGAATGAATGAATGAATGAATGAATGAATGAATGAATGAATGAATGAATGAATGAATGAATGAATGAATGAATGAATGAATGAATGAATGAATGAATGAATGAATGAATGAATGAATGAATGAATGAATGAATGAATGAATGAATGAATGAATGAATGAATGAATGAATGGAATGAATGAATGAATGAATGAATGGAATGAATGAATGAATGAATGACTGAATGGAATGGAATGAATGAATGAATGAATGAATGAATGAATGAATGAATGAATGAATGAATGAATGAATGAATGAATGAATGAATGAAATGAATGAATGAATGAATGAATGAATGAATGAATGAATGAATGAATGAATGAAATGAATGAATGAAATGAATGAAATAATGAATGAATGAATGAATGAATGAATGAAATGAATGAATGAATGAATGAATGAATGAATGAATGAATGAATGAATGAATGAATGAATGAATGAATGAATGAATGAATGAATGAATGAATGAATGAATGAATGAATGAATGAATGAATGAATGAATGAATGAATCAATGAATGAATGAATGAATGAATGAATGAATGAATGAATGAATGAATGAATGAATGAATGAATGAATGAATGAATGAATGAATGAATGAATGAATGAATGAATGAATGAATGAATGAATGAATGAATGAATGAATGAATGAATGAATGAATGAATGAATGAATGAATGAATGAATGATGGATGGATGGATGGATGGATGGATGGATGGATGGATGGATGGATGGGAGAGCCAAATTGAATGACATGGAATGAAACGAGATGAAATGACCTGAAATGAATGAAATGAAACACATGAATGAATGAATGCATGAACGAACGAACGAATGGAAGGAATGAATGAAACAATGAACGAACGAATGAATGAATGAATGAATAAACGAAGGAATGAAATGAATGAATGAATGAATGAAATGAAATGAAATGAAATGAAATGAAATGAAATGAAATGAAATGAAATGAATGAATGAACGAATGAATGAATGCATGCATGAGAGAATGAAGGAAATGAATGAATGAAATGAACGAACGAATGGCTGAATGAAAGAGTGAAGCAATGAATGAAATGCATGAATGACTGCGTTGCAATTCAGCGCAACGCGACGCAATGCCACGCAACGCGACCCGACGCAACGCAATGCCACGCAATGCAACTCAACGCAACGCAACGCAACGCAGCGCAATGAAGGAAGGAAGGAAGGAAGGAAGGAAGGAAGGAAGGAAGGGGGAAGGAGGGAAGGAGGGAAGGAGGGAAGGAGGGAAGGAATGAATGAAAGAGTGCAGTAACGAATGAGTGAATGAATCACTGAAACAACGAATCAATGAACGAATCAGAAAGTACAAAGCACCCGGCGTGGGCAAAAGGTCGTTGTGGTTTGACGGGTTTTAGCGAATCTCATGAAATTCCCAGTCAAAAGTGTCACTTTTTCTTGCTCACTGGCTCTCTGTAGTTTTGATGAGTTTTAAGAGTAGGCATGGGGAACGAAAGCGACGGACACGAACGAAAAGGAAGCTGTGGCTAGATGGAGTTGGCCCAAGCTATTCAAATTCCCAATTTGAAAACCGCCAGCGCCATGAAAACAATCGCATGCAGCCATGCGCTCACGCTTGTCTGTTGCTGTTGGTCGCCCGCAAATCCACGCGGTTCTTTCAGCCTTTGGCCACTTTGGCGCGGGGTCAAGAAAATTGTTTTTCTTACTCCCTTTTCAGGTCTCAAATGTGCCTCAGCTTAAGCTTGTGCAAAATCAGGCACAAGCTGCCATGATGCATAGTTTGTTGATGAGTTTTTAAGGGTGGCGTCAGGTAGTGTTTGAACAATTGGAAAGCCGCAAGCGTGTCAATTCCAGGCAGAAGGCTAGTGTTGGTTTCACAGAGTTTGAAATCACTCAAAGTCGACTGCGTGCCTACAATATGTTGGTAGAAGGGGCACGCAAGGCAAAACACGGGTAAAGTCCATGGTTTTCTGGGAAGAACAACGTAAAGTCGCAAACAACCGCGCGTGACTCCCAGAGGCTCTTTTGGATTTGGAAACCCCGAAGACTTCAACGTTGAAGTCTGGGAGGCTTCATGGTTGAAGCGCAAATGCGGAAATGTGGAGATCCAAAACACAAGCAACAAAGTTGTTGCAGGCAATGGGCTTAAAACATGAAGTGTCCGAAAACCATCTTCGTTGATATCGCGGTCTGAGGACACTTTCAATCCTAAGCACCATTTGACGAGTAGTGTCAAAGACCAACAGAGTCGCAGAAACGCATAGCCTGCTCTCAGAGTTTTGTCTCTGCGCAAGTGGGGGGCTAAGAGTTGATGCGCGCTGTATATGAAAGTTGCTCTGGAGCAGAGCTATGGGCGCTTGCTGTTGCGCTTCACCAAGTTGCCCGCTGCGCAGCTCACCCAAACCACAACAGTTGGTTGGCCGCATTTGGGTTGTTGCGTCCATAGAATGTTTCGCCAGACATGCCACGCGCGCAGTGTGAGTGAGACTTTCTGTGTCGCAGGAACTTCCGTGACTTGAGCTTGCCTTGCCAGACAACTGAAATCCTCACGCTCCTTGGGCGCACGGAACTCAAACAGAAGCGCAGCGCTAGTTGGTGCGCCGCGGACTGAAGCGCATCTGATTTTTTGGCTGCGACGCTGGAAGCTCAACTACGTGCGTAGCATTCATCGCGCGCTTCCTTACGAAACGCAGTTAGAAACCAGCTTCTGTTTTTGCAATTCTTCATTAGGAAGCAGCAGTGTCTCTTCATTTGGATAATTGTTGCAAACTTGTTCAATCTGCAGATTTCTTCGCAAGCGCCTGTTACAGGCCACCAAACTCGTTGCACGCTCTAGAACACCAAAAACATGTGTTAAGTAGGAGACACAGTTTTCGGAAAGCCACTCAAGCAGGTTCTCAACTTTTACACCAGCAATCACGGCTCAAAGCCCGCCCCGCAAAGCTAGTGGTTGGTAAGATATGATGACTGGTAGTTTTGTTTATGAGAGGGCGCTAGACACTGCTCCAACACGTGGTTTGCGCCTTCAGAACGGGGAGCTTTCACGGAAACCACATGTTTACCGCACAAGCAAACGCGTGCGACACGACGGGGCTCATTCCAAAGCAAAGACAGAAGTAAGAACCCTGCCACACTTTTTTCGCCGCACGTGACACGTGTCAACATGTCACGCGTGTGAGTTTACTTGTGAGGCTCAAGTAAACGCAAAAGCTCAGCCAAGAACCAGCCCCGCGCTTATATGCCTGGCCAAGCTTGCGTATACTTTTAGCATTACACGCTCACGGAACATCTAAGAGACTCGTGTAAGAAACCGCTCTCAACCCGGAAGTTGCAAGTACTTTCCCGAGCTGTGTCAACACACTTTTCGGTGTAATTTGCAAGTGTTTCAAGGGTTTTGCTATGCTTCGCAAAACATGTTATGGTTTAACTAATGTTGGATTGCTAGAACATTTTACTCGCAACTTTTTCAATCTTAGTAATCGGCTCCAGTCTTAAAAGTGGACAGTCGCAGACGCCTTTCTGTCCTGAGGGTTTTCTACCCAGCGAAGATGACAACACGGACGGCGAGCTGCGTTCTAAAGCGTGCAAGCTGTTGATGAAACCTTATGGCTAGGACGACCAGCTGTCACGGCCGGACATCGTCAGGCGAATCGGTGATCTCGCAACGTGCAATGCGATATTGGTTAACAAGGCCTTGGTCCCGCTTTCCTTGTTTTACGTTTCTTCCTCGTTTGACGCGCAAAGGGCTTAGCAAGGGCTTTGGCCCCCCCCGGCGCACAGAGGGATGTGTTTTGACAGTCTTCGGCAAATCCAGACATGCGAAATCTTGTGCGCTCGTGCGAGGGAGGGAGGTGCTGCGCAGATCCATCGCAGCCATAATACGTGCAGAGGTGGCTCGAAAGAGAGTTGCGAGAAGCAGGCGTGCAAACTGCGAGGTTGACCCTCCAAGCAAGCGCGCAGCGTGTTATCAATGGGCTCCCAACGGTTTGCGAGGAGCGGCGTAGATTTCACTGTTTTGTTGTGTGATTTTGGGGCGGAGGTGGCTTTCAACACTATCCTGGGCGTGTGCCGGACGCAGAAGCAGTGTTTTGTCTTGCGATTTTGGAACGGAGGTGGCTTTCAACACCATCCTGGGCGTGTGCCGGACGCAGAAGCTGTGGGAGGAAGCGCTGCTGCTGCTGCAGGAGTTTGCCGGCCAAAAGCTCCAGGAGTGAACTCGATCGGCCGAGGGTCGGGAGGTGATCTTGAGCTGCTCGAGGCCTTTTGCCTTCTTGGGCTCTTGGGCACTTGTAGCGCAAGACGCGTTGCGCGGTTCCCACACAGGCGCGCAAACACACACACACACACACACACATGCCCACAAGCGCTCATGCGCGCGCCCTGCGTGCGCCCAAGCGGACCCACACACACACACCCGCGCGCAGTCGCACACCCACACAGCCTCACACGCCCTCACACGCCCGCCCGCCACATGCGACACGCGCACGCACACGCAACACACAACGCGTACCGCACACGCGACACACAACACACACACACACAAACGCACGCGCAACACACACACACAACACCTCGCACAAGCGCACAAACACACAACTCAAACACACACACACACACACACAAACAAACATACACCTACACACGCAACCGTACACAAACACAAACACACACAATCACACCGACACACACAAGAACACACACACAAAACACACAGAGACAGAAACAAAACACAAACAGAGACACACAGACACACACACAGGCACACACAGGCGCAGCGACGCGCGCGCAGAGACACAAACAGAGAGACGCACAGAGACACAGAGAGACAGAGCGACACAGAGGAGAAACACAGACGAGAGACACAGAGGAGAGACACGGAGGAGAGACACAGAGAAGAGACGCGGAGAAGAGACGCGGAGGAGAGAGACGGAGAGAGACACACGCACGGAGACATGGGCAGAGACACACATAGACACACGCAGAGGGGCGCGCAGAGACACAGAGAGACACACACAGAGATACACACAGACACACAAACGGAGGCACACACACACACTGAGACACACACAGAGACACACAGACAGAGACACACACACAGAGACACGCGCAGAGGACAGAGACACACACACACGCAGACACACACACAGTGACAGAAACACGCGCGCCGACGCACAAACACAGTGACACACGCAGACACACAGGCTGAGACACACTCGCAGACAGACGCACAGACACACGCGCAGCCACACGCGCAGACATACACACAGACACACAGACACACACACACAGACACACAGACAGACACACAGACAGCCACAGAGACAGACACATCCAGACACACAAACACACGCCCACGCGCGCACACACACACACAAATGCACACGCGTGCGCCCACCCGCCCACCCGCCTACCCGCCCACACACAAACACGCGCGCGCACACGCACGCGCACGCGCGCAGACACGCGCACGCACGCGCACACACACACACAGGCACACACACAGGCACACCATTGTCACACACATAGGCGCACACCACACACACCACCCACAAACACTGACGCGCTTACGCGCACGCACACACACACACACACACGCACGCACACACACACCCACTTACACACACACACACACACACCCACGCACGCACGCACGCATGCACGCACGCACGCACGCACGCACGCACACGCGCAGACGCACACACACACACACACCCACACGCACGCACGCAGTCGCACGCGCACACACACACAGTAGACAGACACTGACACTGACACTGATACAGACGCAGACACAGACGCAGACACACACACACACAGGCCCACAGACGCACACACACACACACACCGACGCGCGCCCGCAAACCCATGCACGCACACACACACACACACACACACACGCAAAAACCCGCGCACCCGCGCGCGCAGGCGCAGACACAGACGTAGGCGCAGGCACCGGCACAGGCGCAGGCTGGCGCAGATCGTATCCACAACACCTAAATCTTGCGAGCCATCCGCTCATGGGGAGTTGAACGCCAATGCCAGGCCCTGCTGCCCTTCCCAGTTGTAGGACAAAGTAGCTTATGCTTTAACATGCTTCCGAGGTGTGTTCTTATTCCGCTAAACAGACACGTGATCAGTGCATCAGGGTTTTCATTCTGCTAGCGCCTCTGACCAAAGCTTGCGCTTAAATTGCTCAAGGAGGTGCGGCTAAGTACTTGTCCTAGCCCAGAGATCGCGCACACCTGACTCATGTAGCCGACCTCTGGCAAGGAAGGTGGACATTGGTTTTGATGCCCTGTCAACTCCTGCTTTTCAGGGTGAGCGGGCTGAACAGTGTCGGTGAAACACGGCGCTGGCAACAGACAAATGTCGCCGGTCAAAATATGCTTGCAAGCACTGTCGTTCTAGAGGTTTCCCCGGCAACGATCATTTTGCCAATGGTGTCACCGACAAGGAAGCAATCATGTGAATGCAGGCGCGCCCCGCGTCCAACCAGTCTTGTTTCTCCATGCTTTGCCGAAATGGCTCTTTTTGACGAACATCAACATTGTCAGCAGCGTAGGATTGTTTGCGACCTCAGAGGGTTCTTTGACTGGTGACTCTCTTTCTGTCTCTCTCTCTCTCTCCCGCGCGTCAAATTCAAGCTGCTAAACACGTTCAAGGCTGCTGGCAGTGTTCAACACTTCAGCAGCGGTTGTATTTGCATTTCTTGTTGGTACCGTCACTGTGGTTTGTAGCTCAAGGCCTGCGGTAGTGTACAACACATGAAGCAGCTCAACAAGAGGCGCAACATGTGGTTTGGCGCGCTCATTCCGCCTGATGGTTTGTAGTAACATCAACGAAATGGAATGCAAAAGAGGGCTGAAGTGTCATGCTTATGTTCACTCAACAGTAGTGATGGGAACTGGCGTAGTTTTCCAACAGTTTTGTTGGAGTTTCCTGAAACAAAAATGCAGTACGCTTGCCGTCCGAAGTCAGTCCATGATGTAGTGGGCCTGAGTGGCTGAAGTGCTGGATGTAGCCCATCCAAAAGATTCGAGCAGTAGTCTGCTTTGTTTCGTTTGGGGTAGTGTTCCATGTAGTCAATAAGAACTTCTCCCCGAACCCCAAAAGGGGTTGTAGCTTTTAGCATTGTAGTGAGAAGGTGGTGCCCGTAGTACACTTGTTTTGAGTTGTGTGCGCTGTGTTGCTCGGTTGTTGGTGTCACCAGCTGCGTGTAGTTGGTAGTGCTGAAGCAGTTGGCCGGTGTCGAGTAGCAAGTGGCAGTTGTGAGTTGTAGTTAGGTGGTCGTTTCCAGTAGTGAGGAAGCAGTAGTCTTCACCGTGAGTGGAATGTAGTATTTGGTGTGTCGTGTTGTAGTTGGAACTTGTGGCGTTGCGTAGTTCCAGTGTTGTAACGAGTTGAAGGTCAAAGCTGCTGGGTCGTGGGTGTCGCGCAAGTTGTAGCTGAGTGGAAGGTTGCGCAGTGCCTGTCGTTGGGCGAAGTTGTGAACATGTAGTTTTTAGTGGAAGCATCCACCATCAGGCGATCCTAGCGTGCGCGGGCAAGCGCGCGAACAAACAAAACTGTAGTGTTGCCCACTTCGCCAAACACATGCCGCTAAAAGTGCAAGTGACATGACTGTAGTTGTCGTTACGCACATACTTTTACATGTAGTTGCCAACATCGCTGCCAGGCGCCTGGCAGTTGTTTAGTCTTTACCATGGTTTTCAGCAAAGAAGGGGGACGGGGGTTGGCGCATTGGATGGCAAACGTTGCTGGCGCGCAAGGCCAAGCTTTGTTACAGCATGATGAGTGCGCGCGCACGCACACACAGACACACAGATATGCAAACACACCCACCGACACTTCGACGCGTCCCTATAAAGGGTGGCACTCGGTGCCTCGTGCTGACTGGAAGTTGGTTCAAAACGTTTCTCCCAAGCCAGCTGAAACAAAAGTCTCGTCGTGGTGCGTATGGTACGATTGCGCCAAAGGTGCTATCAGTGGGTGTTCTGGAGATCCATGAAGGGCCCCAAGCTGCATGTGCTTTTGCAAGAGGGGCTAGCCGAAGCTTTTGCCAACTAAGACACACTTACCCGCCTGAATGTGCTGAAAAAGTAGTTTTGCCGAAGCCACTTTTGCCAATATTGCACGGCGCCAGCCATTACAGTGGGATTTACGTCAATGCCAGTAAAACGCACCAGGCGCCCAGCGGCGTTGCTCCCATGTAGTTGCATACAGCTTGTTGGATTGGCGTGACAGTGTTGCGAGACAGTTGTTGTGAAACGGCCGGTCGTAGTGCTATGTGCTAACTGCGTACGCCAAGGTTCTGGATGCGCCTTTGTAGTGTTTCTTTGCTAATGCTCCTGGTGCACAAAGCGGCGCTGTTGCGAAGTGTGTTGATCTTGTGGATGCGCAAGATGTCGTGTTGTATGAGGTGTTGTGTGGAGAGGAATTTGAGGTTGATGCGAATTGCTTGTTTGCTGGTGCCTTGTCGGGTAGCAATGCTTTTGGCTGCTGTGGGGTCGGTGTGTATGCGTAGGTTGAGCTTGCTGCAAACAATGACGTGTAGTCCATCATTACCACTTGAACAGCACAGAAGCGCACGACCCGACATTGCCTATGCAGCAAAAGAACTAGCAGGACACCTCACAGCGCCTTCAGAACTTCGCAGAAGAGAGCCAAGCACTTACCACGCTACTTGCACGGCGCCAAACACTACAAACTCACCATAGAACCAACAAAGCAAGCAACATCCTGCACCTTTACGTCTACGTTGATGCGGATTGGGCAGGATTCCCTACTAAAGGAAGCGCCAGCAGGTCCTCCACATAGACCATGATGTAGCAGTCCCGAGCCGCGCTGGTGAGACGTTTGGTGATGACTTGACCGAGTGTTTGTAGCGCATCAGACAGGTAGTCTTGCCAAGCCTTAGGTGAACTGCGTAGTCCGCGCATGGTTTTCTTTAGCCGCCATAGTTTGTTTTGTCGCGGGCAGAGTTCTCTTGGTGAATGTAGACGTCGCGTCGGTTGCCGTCGTTGTCCATTGCGATGGGCGCGTGTACATACTGTAGAGACGTCGCCGAGTCTTGCAACCCAGTTTGACCAGTTTGACCTGACACCTCCACGGCTAGAGGCGTCCGTAGTGTTGCGAACAACGGTGTAGAGGCGTAGACGGAGCCCTCGTCCTCGATCTTCTGTGTAGCCTGCTGCGACGATTCTACTTCGTAAGCCGGGTCCTTTCTTGCGGCGGGCCCATCTTGCAGGAATCGCTTCTTCTATGACATCGGTTCAACTGTAGAAGTATCTACCTGTTTTCTCGTCAAAACCTTCTGGGTGCCGTCGGAAGTGTAGGCAGGCTCTGACGTGCCGCTGGATAGTGTTACTGTGTTGGTTCTTTGTCATTTGTGGTTGTGGTCTTTGGTTGTTGCGTTACTTCTTCCGGAGTCATGCGTCGTAGTGACTGTCAAGATGGTGGTGCTGGAAGTGGTTGATGTTGTTGTCCGCTGGGTGAAGTATCCATAGGGCAATCTGGTAGTGGTCGTGAAGGCGACGTAGCGCCATGCTGTTTCATCGCTGGTTACGCGAGGCCGTTTGAAACATTTGTTTGTTGTTCTGCGTTTTGCGTGGTTCGTCTCTTTTGCTCTGAAGTTTGAAGCTGGTAGGTCGCGCTTGAAGTCTGGTTGTAGTCGACGTACGGCCCTTGCCTTGTATACGCCTTGTTCTGTTGCGACGTAGCTCTCTCCGGTCTCGGAAACTTTTCCGAACCAAATGCATTTGCGTTCGGAGATCTGAAGGTAGAGTGGTGTTTCGCTGAATCGCAATTTGCGCATTCGTAGTGTCTTCCCCAGCAGTGTTCGAAGCTTGTGTAGCCGCTGAGTGAACGACGCATCGATTGACTGTCCATGCTGCATGTCGTACGTAGCAGACAGTGCTTTGTTGACATTTTTGTGCTGCTTGTGCTTTAACGACGCGAATTTGCCCGAGAAGTGTTCTGTGTAGTCGTTCAACGCTGCCTTGCCTTTTGCTGCTGCAGGACGTACGGTCATTGATCAGACTTTGGATGCAGTTGCTTTGAGTAGCGCGTTGATTGCGACAACGAACTTGCAGGTTGTTGATCATGTAGTCCATCATTGAGGCCTTCTCAGGAACCAACACCGCCACGCACGGTTGTGTAGTGACACCAACTGCGAATAAGACTTAAGGCTGGTGTGGTTTTCGGGTCGGTGAAGTCTACTTGAATGACGGGTTGTCGTGGTTGTTGTTTCCTGTGCTGAGTAGTCTTGGCGTCCATTTCCTTGTGTGCACATTGAACACCAATTTCGGCATGGCAAGTGGCTTAGGTTGTGTTCTAGTTGTTGCGGCGTTGTTTGTTGAGGTTGTCGTAGTCCTTTTGTTTTTTGTCGTCGTCCTCTTCAGATTATTCGTAGTCTTTCTCGGTGGTGAGCCTTGTAGCACCTTTCCATTGGAATGGTGGTGCTGCGCTTCCGACAACTGTCCAGTCGTCTGTGCATTGTGAACTTCGCCGAAGTTGTTGCTGCAGGTTGTAATTCTGAAAGGTTCGAACGCATTGGTGGGTGGATGTCCTGGTGCATCTGTAGGTGTGAAGGGCCTCCATATCTTTTGAGGAGTTCGTAGTTGTAGCTTTGGTCTTGTCGGTGGTGTCTCTGCTGTAGTTTCTGGTGCGTGTTGGTGTAGTCTTTGTTTTCATTTGGTGTGCAGGCGCGACTTTTCTCCGGAATCTGGTTTCTTCAGTCCAGTCATCACCTTCTAGTGAGGTGAAGAGTGCCTTGGGTGGTTGCTTGTGGACTTACCGTCGAGTTTCAAGTAGTCAGTGTTTTACCAAGGATTCATCTTAGTCCTTGGTCTGAGAGTGTCACTTGCAACGTGCTTTCTGTTGTTGTCGTGTTTCCTTTGTAGGCTGAATCACAGCAGCGCCCTTTTGGTCTTCCCATTGTAGGAAGTGTTCTTCCAACTGTGCTTCGTTGAACGCTGGTCCCAGTAGCTTGGGGAGCTAGCCAATGCTTCGTGTTCCTATGGGTAGGCAAAACCTGTTGAGCAGAAATCGTACTGTTTCACAGCCATGGGCACCGTTGTCGCAATACTCTAGCTGCTGGCCCTGGGCAGATGTTACTACCTCGGTCTGTTGCCTTTGTTGCTTGTGCAACGTCATACATGTGCCTTCTGAAGTCTGCGTCCTCAATCTGTCGTGTAGCCGCTTGTGCTAGTTGCAGTACGAAGTCGAAGTCCCTGTCAGTTAGCCCACGGTAGGCTTGTAGCTTGAAGAGCCATTCTTCAAATTGCGAGTAGCCACCATTGCAAAGAATAGTGGCAGTTTGCGTCGGCGTCATCTTTGGAACTTGTTGTCTTGTTCCCGTGCTGCTCCTGCAGTTGTTGCTCCTACTGTCTCTTCTGTGTTTGTTCCGTTGCCTGCTCCTGTGGTGGGCTGGGCTGACGCTGTTGCTGGTTCTCTTTGACATGCCATAGTAGTTTGGGAATGCGGTGGTTGCTTACTGTCGTATACTGGAGCTCCCCTATGTATAAAAATATCAGCTCCGCTACTATGTTAAATTCACACTGCTAAATGCGACAAGTGCAAGGCTGCTTGTAGTGCTCCACAGTTCGACACTAATTGTATCTGCATGCGCTCATGGCCAGCGGTAGCGACAAGAAGTGCAACATGTAGTTTGACATCTCGCTGGCTGTTGGCAACATCTCCACATTTTAATCAACCAGCAACTCATGGCCGGGAGACCCGGATTGGTGATGCTTTTGCTCCTCACTCAACCCAAGGCTCTTACAGTTTGGAGTGGCCAATCTGCCAACTGCCAAGCTGAGCTCAAAGCATGCGGGAACATGCGCAACATCATTGGCTTGTTGCTTCATGCAGTTTTCGGACGCTGCTTCCAAAATGCCAAACACCTCAACTGATTCAGTGAAGACCCTCCTAGTGCCCCAGAAGCGCAAGATCTCATTACTTGAGGATCAGCCATTTTCCATTAGCATAAGGTTTGAGCGTGGCCTGTAAGGCGGCCAAACCAAAGTCCGGATGTTGTTTTGTGCTTCTGTTTTCACAGGCGGATTGTCTGGTTTCACAGGCGGACCGCATCTCCCTGTTGGCAGCCGTGGGCGCTGCCGGCGGCGCTGGCCGGTGGCCTGTGGCGATTTTGCTAGCGGAGCGATCCGGAGAAGGCCAGGTGCGGAACGCTGCAATGGGCGCTTGCTCCAGGCGGGGGAGCGGAGCGGGCGGACCTGGAGGGGAGAAGATTGAGCTAGGTGCCGAATTGCATCAATCATGGTTTCAAGGCTCTTGCTCACTGCGCAGTGCCAGCGCGGCATCAGAGCCGCCTACCCTAAACGCCAAACATACTCCGCAGCAACCTCAGGAACTGCACGAACCTGCGATCTTGGTTGGGTGCTCTGGGCCCAGAAGCAGATGCCTGCTCAATGGAAGCAGACTGCAATCATGTCGCTGCAAACTAGCAGATAGCCATCATGAGGAAATTTCAATTCCAGATTAAAAGCCCACCTTCACTACCACTCAAACTCGATCCAAACACACTCAAGACTCAAGACCAGTCCTTAATAAACCCGAAGCCTCCCAACCAGCCAACCTTATACCAATCCCACCCCGCAAAGGCCTACTAAAAAACACATGTCAAGCAGCCAGCCCTAATCTGCCCTCCATGACTTCCGCCAGCATGTGCCATCACAGCTTGACCAGCTCTTCTCGTGCCAATCCAGCATTTCCAAAAAGCAAAAATCTGCTGACAAGCCAAAACCAGCGCGTTGACGAACATTAGCTTCGTGTAGGATTTCAAGCAAAGATACCCCAGGCCAAAAAATGGCTTCGCCAAAATTTATCTTGTTGACTCC